ATATATATATATATATATATATATATGAGGATATGGTTTGTCATTTTTATTACAGTATAGAAAGCCTGCCATCATAATGAAAACCATTTTATCCTTATAGAATTTTAGATAAATAAATTTTTTTTAGCTTTAGAATCTGTCTTTATTTTTAACTTATAAACTTTAATGCCTATTTTCCTCTCGAATACACAAAATATTTTAACCATTTTTTCATTTGTGCTTCCTCAAGCCTAATTATTATTATAAAAGTGAATTATTTATCTGGCATAAGTTTGTAATCCTAGGAGATCGCCTTAGTTGTTACAGCCATGTTTGGATTATATCACTTTGAAAGGCTATACTATTTTACTTTATCCGGGGCAAAAGTTGAATAGCGATCATTTATGCTTCAAAATACACGCAAATTCGAATATAATTTTATAAGGAAATTCGACTGAGTTTCCTTCGAGGCAATTTTGCTAACCAATTGCTAATAGTATTATAGCAAGTTTAATTTTTACAATTTGTATAATTTTTATTTTGTTAGAATCAGGAAACTGAACTAAAAGCAAGCAAGCTAATGGCTGAATTGAATGCCACCACAAAAGAACTGAAGACAAAGAGAGAAGAAATTGATTTAGAAAAAAAAAGACTTGTTGACAAAACAGGTAAGTTTATTGATTCCTTATTTATTATAAATACACATTTTCATTTGCGCATAATGCAATCATAATGAAAAATAGCTAGTAGATAGATATAAAAACCACTTTAAGGCAAACCTTTAGAACAGTACACTGTGCAACGATTGTGTAATTTTTCATTTCCTTGTATATCATGTTTTTAGTGCTGCATCCTCTTCCTTCAATACTACTTGTTACGACAAAGATAGTAGTCCACACTCTTGGTGTCAGTTCTAATTCTTCCAAGTATGTAGCCTTACTTGCAGCGCTTATGTTCCTGATTGGTTTTTCACTCTGTAAATTACTTCTTCCTACATTTTTCAGTTGTTCCATTGTACCCTATAAAAATTGGTTAGCTATAATTCCTTAAGCCCTTCTACCATATCTGTCATACTCAAGGCTGTATTCACATGACTGGCCTCGAAAGTATGATGCGATTTCTATGCTAGCATCACTAAGGACGACTATTCGATGAGTTAATTCGCACTTCCGTCGCCAGTTTAATTCATCTTGGACTCGAATGCTGTTGATTACAATCATCCGTGGGTTTAAAGCAACACTTTACACAATAAATGGGGTATTTATTAGTTTGTTGATGTCTCATTTCATTGATAGAAGCTTTTTACATAGATCATGATCTTTTTTTTATTTTTTGGCATAGCTTCAATAAAACATTTGATTAAAGTTAGCTATATGATATAAGAACCTCATTCCATCTAACTACAAACTTTTGATTACTTTTTAATCTGATAAGTGTCTCATGCGCTTAAAATGAAGCCTTGATCTGAATTAACTTCTTTTTGGGAATTTTGATCTAAGAAATATCTGTGGCTTATAAAATAAATCCTAACACCGGCATTTGCTTCGCGCTATTTTGTATATTTTTATTTTTAACCAGCGGAAGTTGATATTACCAAAGGCCTAAACATTTATAAGGCATGCAGCGAATGTGCAGTTACCTCAGACTTGCGAAGAAAATTGACCCAAACAGAAACTGAGCTCGCTCGAATAAAAATAGACCTGCAAACATCACAGCAGGAGTGTAGACAGGCTACAAAGAGGCTTCAGGACGTCCAAGCAAAACATTGCAGTGAAATAAAGGTGAGGTATCGAAAGTGGTAGTTACTGGAACGTAAGGTTGCTGACAAAGTTTATTTATAATTATTGACATAATGGATTAATGTGCTATAGTTGTGCTATTATCAAATAAAGTCTTAATGCAGGTTAAAAAAGGAGTACTTAATATATTTTACTTTTGCTTTATTTTCATCTGTCTTTACCTCCCTGTATTTATTTTCAACTAAGCCCATTTCATGCAAGGTTTCTAAATGTGTCTCTAAACCAGGCTAATAGTGAACTATAATCATGGTTAATTCTCTGTAGACTTTATCATAAACTTTATCCCGAGGACTAATTAGGTCTTATGTTCTCTTCATCTAATTCTTGACAAAAAGTCATGTTTCTGTCTTTTTCTGAGTCTGATGGTTCTAACTCTTTATTCATTTACTAAATAACGGAGCGCTAATATTCTATTAATTTTTTGACATCTTCAAAAATGGGCTTATGTTTGCTTTTCTCCTATTCAACCTAAATTATCTTGCTACGAACAGTTGATACAGTCTGAGGCGGAAAAACGACTTGAGATGGAGCTTGCATCGTCTCAGTTGCGCTCAGAAGAGGGGCTATCAAAACGATTGCAGGAGGCCGAGCGGCGGCTCGATGAGGCAGTTCGGTTATCCAAACAGCAGGCAGATAAGGAAGCTCAACAAGCAAGTGTACCAGATGTTTTAAATAAGATTGTAGAATAAATAATGTTGAAATTAATAAACGAATAAATTAATAGAATCCTCGTAGCTCGCTATAGTCAGAGAGCGTTGCTAGGGTGAAGTATTGCTTTGTTGTATATTTTAACTAATCTCGCAGAATGCAGTAACTTCCCTAAATTAAGACAAATTCTGATGCTCATCCTAAACTACTGCAATTCCAGGTATTTTGATACAACAACAGGTCCTTGTTGTCGGCTCTTCCCTTGGCAATGAACATCTTGAGTATGCTACAATTAGTATTCACCTGAAATAAACACGTTGCTAAGTGAGAACTTGCTCATTTGTCGTCCCAAGCCTCAATTTTATCCCCAATTAAAGTTATGCTAATCAAGAGTTTATCACCAAAGTCTATATTCTCCATTTCTCTATCCTGTACTTTCTATACTAACTTGTGTGTTCTGTGAGTGTGCGCGTTCAGGATATGCAAAGCTCTTAATTTCACCGGAAGAGCCAATTCCACTTCTCTACTAAGTATGGAACTAAGATGATAACCCAAATAGTCTTACTAAGGAGTGTCAATATTTTCGCATACACTAAGACTAACTATTTTGTAAAGGAAGATATAATATGTAGGTTAGTATGAACGAACTGAGGCTGGCTGATAAAATGGAGGAAAAGCTTCATAAAATTGTAGTTCGATAAAAACATTTTTCACAGTTGGATGAGATCATGCTAAAAGCATACCTATTCCGAAATATGAATTAATCCATGGAAGTTGTTTGATATTATTTTCGGATCTTTTCGTACCCATGTTTCTTGATTCATCAATATACTCCTGCTCACAGTTGCCGCATTTGATACGATAAACTGCCGAGCAAACCAGTTTGTCAATATTCCGGTATTTCGTCGCCAGGCTAGTGAAGATTACTGTCTTCTCCTTAGTTATCACCTCAATATTCCATTTTGTTACTAACGGTCGCAACTTTTGACACAGTACAGAATTAGATCTTTACATAACAGTGGGAATTCAACAAGAGTATATGATAAAAAGAAGATAGGTCGGAAAGTAGTTAACTTGTCCAAAGCGCCATCGGGCAGTACTATTAAGGAAGTTCTATCTAGAGTTCTTAATTATGCTTTGTAAAATAGTAAAAGCTTCACTGATGAGATTTTAGTAGAAGTTATTAGCTTTAATAACCGATTAGCAGAAGAAACTAGAAATGAGATTGAAAGTCAGGTTGTTCCTTTTATTTATAACCATGTATAACAACAAAATCAGAACAGATGTGTTAATAATATCACGAAGAAGCTTATAAAATACGAGCAAATAGTTTTGAGTGTAGACAAAGGAGGAGCAGTGATGATAATGGATAGGACCGATTATACAGAAAAGATGATGCCGTCTTTAGCTGATGTTGATACGTATATAATTTTAAATAAGTACCCTACAGAAACACTAAAGTCGGGAGTCAAGAGCTGTCTGTAACAGTACGCTAAGAGTGGAAAATTGGGTAAAATGAAAATGAGTGCACTTCTCCAACGCGAAGCTAGACCTCCTAATGCATATGGTCTGCCCAAAATCCACAAAGGGGGAATCCCACTTAGGATCATTGTAAATAATAAGGGTGGCGTTATGCATAAAGCATCGCGAATCCTTTGTGGTAAAATAATGTTGATCTCAGGCCATTGTAAAATTGTCAACAAATAATTCTTATTACTTTATAAAGTTAATAAACGAGCAAACAATATAACAAGACGATTTGCTAGTAAGTTTCGATGTAGTATCGATGTACACGAATGTACTGATTAGTGGGGCCATACAGGAATCAGGATTAATCTTAGATCTACCCCCAGAGATAATATCATGAAATAGGATGAGCAAGGAATCAATCATGAGATTAACGAACTTGATAATAAATAGTAAATATTTTATCGTAATTATACGAGCAAACAGGTGGCTTAGTTATGGGATCGTGTTTGTATCCAGTTTTAGCTAATAACTACATGGCTCAATTGGAAGTCCGGCTTTTTCAAGAGTCACTGTTAGTTCCGAAACTGTTGATCAGATATATTACTTTCTAACTGGCAGCATGGCAAAGGGTGTTTGGATAACTTCCTTTATTTAATGAATTGAGTAGATAAGTCGAATAAATTCACTATGT